AAGAACCAGATTTGTGGCTCTAAAAGAAAATCTGTGACAGCTTTCATACTGGTAGTACCTCATCAAATGTTGAGTGTTTGAACAAGGATGATCATGCCCATATTTCATTCTTCAGTTCACACATTTGTATATTTATTTATAGACACACATATGCGTACACTCCATAAAGCAGCCTTCCCTTCTGTGGTATCCCTCTAGTTCAATAGAGATATCTCCTATAATTCCCCAAAGCATGGGTCAACCATCTTCTAACCTGCAGGCTCAGTTGCTTCAGCCTCTTGCTGGCACATGGCTGAACAGGAACCAATGAAGTCCATAGCAGTACATGCAACCTGGCTTATGGAGATTGAGAATGGTGAAAGAAGGCAGCTAATTTTCCAAATAAGGGCTATACTGACATGACCAGGAATAATAGTCACAGCTGAACCACTGACCAGGTTTCTAATAAATGTTACATGGTTTTTCAAAACAATGCAGTTGTGTAGATGCATTATGAAAAATAGTCATGGGATAAAAAACAGCCATGAATTTCCAGTCTGCTAATGTTTCCTCATCGCACACCTTTGCTTAGATGAGATCACAAAAGAAATGTTATGAAACAATTCAAAATGTTAAAAATTACTTCACTCAAGAGTTATATGACTGGGTTCTTACCTTTCCAACTCTTTTCCCTTCCACAGCAAGCACCTTCATTTTGGAGAAGTAGTGATAGAAAGCAACCACATAAGTGATAATGGATTTCTCATCTGGATTCTCCGTAAAAACATCTGAGCAGCAAATAGATTTCCAAGAGAAAATTATTTGTTTGAATGCAGAATCTGACAGCAGATAGGAGTTAGGTCTGAACCATGTTTCCCATTTTGTAGAGCTACACAATCTAACAGTGTTTACCATGGGATCACTTTGCTAATTTCAAGTACAAAAACAACAGAAGGTATGGAAGCAAAGCTAGGCTAATAAAAACTTATTTTCCAGCATGAATATTATTTATTTATTGGAGAATAATATACAGAGCAGTCCTGTCCCTGATAAACAAAAAAAAGTACACATTACTACATTATCAACTATAGCGAATCTATGGCAAAGATTTTTTTTTTTAAAAAAGAGATAACAGTACAGCAACATACTTTACTGAATACCAGGACATGAGTTTATTAAACAGACCTGGTAGGTGAAACTTGTGAAACACAAACATTACATATATGACTAGAACATCCTATATTAATTGTTGGAGATTGGTGTTGTTCATCAATGGTGAGGAAGAAGCAATCTGCACATACTGAAAGTAAATGTTTTTAATGTTCGAGGGCAGGATTGTCATCAAAACTGGATCAGAACTTAGCTATCAGTGAATATAGGATTAGAGAAAACTATGCCTGATCATAAATTAGCTATTTAACTGCTAGGTGCAAATTCTGTCTTCCTAATCTGATAATTACTTACATGTGTAAATAATTCAATATGAGAGTTTTTCAATCCTAACAGTGTTCCCCTTTATTTTATTATACCTATAAAACAATGCAGTGTTGAAGGATCGTCAATCTTTTTGAGTATGTGAATACAGCTGGATTTTTGAGAAAGTATACAATCAAAGTACAATCAAAATGGCTGGAGTCACATTATTGTGGGAAGACATGGGGTGCTTAGCCATGGTGTACTGAATAAACTACAATAAGCAGAGTCCACACAACATACTAAACCATAAATCATGGTTTTAAACTACAATGACTTGATAATATATAATTATAAAACTAAACAAACCAGATTCTGGCTTAGTGTAATGTGTGAGCTCACATCAATGACTGCTGAGGGGTAAAAAACAGCAGCTAAGGGTGGGGGGTAATCACAATATTTACCGCTGCATCAGGACAGCCCTTTGAATCCAGTCTCTTGCTCTAACAGAAAGTTCATTTCAGACAGACAAGGGCAGGACAACTTTTATAAATTATCCTTAAATTAAATTAAAATTAAATAAATTCTTTGAAAATCAGTATCACCAAAGTTATTTCTCCAGATAGGAAGATCTTCAAAATAGTTTTCTTCAAACACACAAAGCTTTCCTGATGTCCCACAATGCCAAAAAACCCATCCTTCATTGCCAACACACAAAAGCATACCTTTTTCATTTTTCAAACACAGACTCTCTCCCCAAGCCTTTCACTCAGACATACCATACAACTGCAACCCTAATTCCTTTATTATACAAACCCATGCCACTTATGCAGTCCTCCCCTTCTCAAAGGTTGCTTCTCATTTCTTCTCTCCCTGTGCTAGCTTTCCCAGCTTCAGCTTTCCTTTCTATTCTCATCATTCTTCCATACCTCTGCTGAGTAGACTTTTCAGCCCCTTTCTTCTCTCTTTTCTTCCCCCAACAAACTGATATCCTTGCTACCACCTCACCTGCCAGTAATTTTTCTTGCTTTTATTTTAGTTTGATAGAAATGGAAGGCTGAGCAGAAACAACAAAGGTGAAGCTTTGAGCTATTCCACGTTCTTCCTTTTTGTTCTAGGCCCAAGTGGAGATTAAATACATGTAGGGAATGAAGGAGAGCAAGACTGCTGGAAGCCAGAACTCTGTTGACTTCCAGCCTTCCAAGATAAAGAAACCAGGTGGGGTGAAAGGGGCCTGCTGAGTGCCAGAGGAAGCGTGGGAGTGTCTGCGGATACAGCTGCGCCTGCAGGCATCACATTGCTCACCCAGCAGTGAGGAATCAGAGCTAACACTCTGATATTCTTCTCTTAATAGGCCAGATTTCCTTTTAAACATTTTCAAAAATAAAATAACTAGGGTCAGCTTTATTGGGCAGAAGAAGTGTTAAATATGACAAGGTATTTTTAAAAATTTATGTATTTTCCATGTTAAGCAAAGAGAATGAAGGGGAAAAGATGATGACATGGGATGTTTACAGAAATGCATTTATGGAAGGCAACTGAAAGAATGAATTCTATCAACAAAAATTCTATATCATATACAACAGTTGATTTGTGACTACGCACAGCTTTTGAGATATTTATTTAGATACTGAATCTCACCTTTCTATGATAAAATCAAATTCAAGGCAGCTTATAAATAAAAAAATAGATCAAGCAAAATTAAAAGCAATTCTGACAAAAATAATTTATAAAAAATACCACAAGTAAAAGTATCAACAATTAAACATTATAACAAAGAATGCAGGTGCAGGGTTACTGTGACTATTCCTCTGAACAATGAGTTGGTTGTATGGGGATTTACAGTTTTTAGTTTTGTTTTTTATCATGTTATTGAAGATGTCATATCTATCTTGTCTATTTGTCTTGTCTGTTTTTAACTCAAGTTGCAGACTTGGGGAATTGTATATTGCTCAGAGTTGATTTGATTGTAGGCTTATAAAGCCTTGTAAATAAAATAAATGCCTGTTTGAAAAAGTGGTCTGAAGTGGACAAAGAGACATGACTCATTTTCATTCATTTCAGAAGGCTTATATAGGAGAGTTTCCTGACAGTTTGAGAATACATGATTGCATAAATACATAAGCATCCATGTTTATAGACTGAATTGAATTGCTTCATGAACTTTGACAGGCAAATATTCTGCACCTATTGCTTAGCTTTTGCAACCATTATTCTGTATAATTCTCAACTCTGTCCTGACAGCTCAATTCTCAATTTAAAAAGGCAGGAATTGAGCCAAGTGCACTCACCTTCTGGATCAAGAAGTTGCGTGATACCAAGTTGCCGCTCGGCTACACTGAAAGCATGTTCCAAATTGTGCCTAGCATTTGAGTGTTTCAATTTCTCAAAGTCAATTAGGTCAGGCCTACAAATGAAGGTGAAAAAAACTTTAAATAATATAGTATTTGAGGTTAGCTCTGCTATAAAAAATGAATTTGAAATTATTGTATATGGAGTGCTTTTGATCAATGTTCCAGCCATGCCTCCATACCACTTTATCCAAGGTTTTCTGCACCTTTCTCCTGTAGTCAGTCATCCTGTTACCATACACCACATAGGCTATTTTGGCCTCCTTCCCCCCTCCCTATTTTGTACCATAATCCACAAACCTTGGGTCTGCCAATACTTCCTTTTTTGGTGAGGATGGTGCACTTTTGGCTACATAAGCAATGCTACTCATTTTGAGCATCAGAAATGGAGAGGGTGATACTGGTCAGTTTTGTACCTGATTATGGAAGTAAGGAGACAAAATTCATACAGGACAGATGGTGGATAACAGGCCTCTGTAGCAAGTGTATGGATGCGCACTCATGTTATTAGTCAAACCTAGATATATCAGCAAAAACAATTAAAATGGTTTAGATCTTTTTAGACTATCCTTACCTGTGCTTGTGAATAAGAGCATTAAAAGCCAAGCCATCCTTCCAGCTGGAGGTGAAGTTGGTGACATTAACATGGGGATAGCTGTGTTACAAAGTTAAAAAAAGAGGGACATGTAAAAGATACTTTTAGCCATAAAATGAGAGCTACAAAATGATAATCTAATTAGATATAATTTGACATGAGGATGCACTTTTCTCTAAACAGAAGAGCCACTTTCAGCTAAACTTACATTTTCAAGCCACTTCTAATTGGTATTTGGAAACACAGATTTTCCTCCATTGGAAGAGTGAATATTTGGCTTGGGTGGATAAATAATAATTCAGGCTTGGGAAAGTTGGGTTACCTAAAGCACACTGGATATTTCTATCCATTTTAAATCCAACTTTTATCCACTTTACAATAGAATGAATGGAAAGAGCAGTTCATCTCCAAATACTCTTTTCCACTGAGAGAAAAGAAACATGGGTTCATAAACTAACATATTGCCCACAATGCTGAAAACAAATTGAGCTCTTGAACTAGATTTCCACTATTGTAGAAGAAGAGGAATAAGCCTGGGACCTGAGACCAACGTATTACATTTAAGTCTTCAGCAGTTGTTTGAGGCAAAATAGGCCTTACGGAAGCCTAGCTTTCAATATAAATCACATACATATAGTTTTGTTTTAGGAGGAAATATCCATATAGGTAGTCCTCGCTTAACAACCACAAGAGGGACCAGAAAATTGGTCATTAAATGGGGAGGTTGTTAAGTGAGTCACCATGTGACCGGACCTGATTTTATGACCATTTTTATGATGGTTGTTAAGTGAATCACTGCTGTCATTAAGCGAATCCAGCTTCCCCAATGGACTTTTTTCCAGAATTCACTTAATGACCATGTGATTCGCTTAACAACCATGTGATTACCTTAATGACTGTCATAAAAAAGGTCGCAAATTGCGATCACGTGACTGCAGGGGGTGTGTGATGGTTTGAGATAATCTAAGTGCAAGTACACCATCACACACCCCCTGCGGTCACGTGATCGCAATTTGCAACCTTTTTTATGATGGTTGTTAAGCTAATCACAGGTCGTAAAGGACTTTTTCCAAGGCCGTCATAACCTCAAATCGTTGTTAAACGAACAGTCATTAAGCAAGGACTACCTGTAGTATCTCTATGCCTCATTTCCCATTTCTAAAATGAGAATATACTAGTTTTAAAAGGGTTAATTTATTTAATCAGTATTAGTACTAAAAATAGTTTATGAGGCTTACCACATCACAACATATTAGATTTTCAAACCATTGTCAGTCTACTGAAATAGTTTTTCTGTAGCTTTGTCTTCACCAATTACAAGTCACAAACATTTTCCAGAGCCCACAAAGTGAATGTGAAATGTAAGTTGGGAGGCAGGGAGTATGGTGGGAAGTCAGTCCCTCCTATACTAAACAAAGCTTAGGAGAAATGTGATGGAAGGTAAAAACTATCTCAAGGACACAAGATATCCACATTTTGCCAAGTGGCAGTGCTGGTTTACACTACTAGCCATGTTACTGACAGTGGCATATTCAATATCTGATACGGGAAAAACTTCTCAAGTGCTCAATATATAAGCTCTATGGTGTTAACCCTTTGAGGAAGGCACAATCAAGAAACAAGAGCTGACAGGAATGGTTATTATTGTAGTACAGTGTTTCTCAACCTTGGCTATTTTAAGATGTGTGGACCAACTCCCAGAATCCCCCAGCCAGCATTCTGGTTGGGGAATTCTGGGAGTTGAAGTCCACACATCTTAAGATGGCTAAGGTTGAGAAACACTCTTGTAGGGTATAACAGAATCTTGAAAGCCTATCCAAGTTTCTCTCTACTACATCTTATACCAAACAAAATCAGATTAGGGTTACTTGACTTTCTTTCTCTTGCTTTCTTCTTTTCCAGGCCTGAATAGTTTTTTCTGAACCTTCTTCTCCCTTAAGTTTGTTCAACCCTTCCCCATTCCTAGGCCCAGGTTTACATTCCATCACAACTGGAATTTGCTAAATGTAGCCCTTTTATCCATTTCAGTTCATTCTTTTAACAACTCCATGATTTCACCCAGCCCAAAATTTGCAGATGATAAACAGTAACTTTCTCTAGCTTTATGCTAACTGGGAATTCTGAGTCATAGGTCTGAACTATCTGGAACATGGCGGGAGCTGGAGGGCAGGCCATCTTCGGGGAAGACGCCCCCAGTATGTCTCACTGGTGGCATGTTCCAGCCCTTCTGGCTCATTCCCAGGTCCTGGTCAGCAGGTTCGTAGGGGCCCTGGCTTTTGGCTGCTGCTGCTTAATTCCAGGTCGATTAACAACAAGGTCCCCCTCATATGTGACTTGATCACTGAGGAGGGGGCAGACCTGGCATGTATTACCAAGATCTGGCTGGGCCCCGAGGGGAGGATGCCCCTCTCAGAAATGTGCCTGGTTGGGTTCACGGTCTGGCACCAGCCGAGATGCCAGGGCAGGGGAGGAAGGGTGGCTGTTGTGATCTGGGAATCTCTAGTTGCCTTCAGGGGCATTGCTCCACAAGTTTCTGGCTGTGAGACACTGTTCATTAGGTTGGGCTCCCACGAACAGTTGGGAGTTCTGCTACTGTACCAGTCTCCCTGCTGCATGGCAGCCTCCCTGCCTGAGCTGCTGGAGGCCATCTCGGGGCTGGCGGTCGAGTTCCCCAGGCTTATGGTTCTGGGGGACTTCAAACTGCCATCCTTGGGGTGGTCCTCGGACACGGCTCGGGAGTTCATGGCTACCATAGCAGCCATGGGCCTGTCGCAAATGGTGCGGGACCCAACCTGAGACAATGGCCACATGCCGGATTTGGTTTTCTTGTCGGAGCAATGGCAAAGTGATCCGAGGGGAGATTTACAGCTTTCGCAGGGAGGCAGGACCCATACGACTGGCCCGCCCCCGGTGCCCCCTGGACTCGTAAGGGTTTTAGTGGGGGCTGGGGGGTATTCCCCTGGGCCTGCTGGCCGGGCCAG